AAGAAGCTTGGTACCCTTGTGCTGATGAATTAGATGAGCCTGCCTGATTCTGAACAGCAGCTCCAGCTTTGGGTGGGATTTGCCCTTATGCTGAAGTTACAGCTTTAAGATAAGGTGTTCCCAATAAACTTAGGTGAGCCCATGAAAAGGCTTGGGGCAGGTTCCTGATGCTATTTGCAGCAGATCTTGCTTTCTGTCAGCTACAAACACATGTGGATAGATTTCAGATATACTGAAACAAACCATTCAAAGTGGGATATTTAAAGCTTCACAACATTTTTGAGTCTTTCTTTGCCCTCATTCTTCACCATCCATCGGTCAGAACAGCCAGAATGGTCTAGTTCTAGCATGAATCCGACCAGGAGATGGCAGCGTTGATGCATACAAGAAGTATCCAAAAGTTAAAATGCTTTTCCCTGAACTGACAGAGGAGGGGAAAAATTACCTTAATTTAATTAGAACATACACTATCTTGGCAGTACATAGACAAATGTTAACCAAATAGTCCTGGTTTTAGCTTTTGCCCTAACTGGCTAATGCAAGTCAGTAAATTAATAATGCACTTAGGTTTGTGTCTAAATACTGGAGTGGCCCTTTGGACTCGTAATGATTTGAGACAAGGGCTTTGAAATGCAGTACCCAGAAGTAGTTCTAGTATTAAAAGGCTAGAAAGATAATAGGTGCTAATACTGTTGTTTCTGCATACCTGTTCTGTAAACTAATAATAGCTTTGCTTGTACCTGTAAAATCAGGTTTTGTTATGGCTTAAATTTAAAACTTCTTGGGCCTTTTGTTTTGGTGTTCTTGTCTTCCTGCCCTTATGGTATGTATATATGTGCATTGACATGGAGAGAGAGTCTGAGAGCTGGAAAATTGTGTTACCTGACCTGGTAAATAAGGAAGGAGCTTATGGGACAGCATCCATTTTCCCCCTGCACCTGGTCTGCAGGGTCTTGTGTCTGTGTTTTTCCTCCCATTAAAAGATGGGAATAACTCCTGGCTCCAGAGCTTGCTTGGGGAAATGAGCATGGCCTCTATCACTGGGGTGCTGTTGTGTGATGCCTTAATGTTGGCTGAGGTAGCTGAGGGCCCACTGCAGGACCCTGTCCTTGGCTGACTCTGCAGATGTTTGACAGAGAGCTGATTTGTCACAGGGTCATCCCCAAATCCAGTAGGATGCACCAGGAATGGCCTGAGTTTGGCAGGCTCTATTGTGCTCTTCTGTGGCAAGCAACAGGCTACATCTATGTGAACAGCCAAGAGATTAAAAAGCAATTTCTTCCTGGGATCCTGGTGATTAGGGAGCTGAATGGGCTCCCACTGTGGGAGATCACGTTACTGTCTGTGCTGTGTGTCTATTAAACCCACAGTTGATGCAGGTAAAAACAGATACCTGGGCAGTTACTGTGGAGCAGCCACACAGTTGTGTTTCACCTCTGCCTGTGCACTTTGCTTGCAGCTTTCAGATGTCTGAAAATTAAAGTATGAGTTCTCTTGGTGCAGAGATATCATACTGGTGCTGCTTCAACATATTTAACTACAAAAGCAAACCATGAAGGTACATGTTGTGTTCTTTTACCTTCAGCAGTATTACCTGGAAGGCACTGGAGTGGTTGAGATCTAAGCCTAATAGAGCTGAGATTTTTCTGCACCAATCTGTCCAGGTTGTTACTTTATAAATAAAATATGTGTGAACTTAATCTTGCATACTTCCCTTTAGAGACCTGTTCTCAACATCAAAAGGCTGCTGGGGTTGTTATTGATAGGAAGGTACATATGTAGGAACAAACAAGGCAACGCGTTGGAACTTCAGGTGCATAGTGAAAATGTCACTGTTCAGATGTTGGCAGGTGCAGCTCGTGGCTTTTGGAGTGCCAGAAGTGCCCTGTGGAGCCAATCTGACAGCACTGCCCGGGTGACAGGAGCCTTTATTTCCTTTCAGAGCAGCACAATGTAATCACTGTTTTTGTTCTTGTGCAGCCACAGGCTTCCTTGGAAGCGCAAATTCAAATGGGAGAGACATCAAAGTTAATTTGAAATGAAATGCACCCCAAGTAGTCTGGGGGAAATGGAGACATTACTTTGTAGCCACCCTTCTCCTGCCCAAACTGCAGCACCCCAGATGTCAGGAAGCCACACTGTGCTCTTTGTCTGGTCTTGATTGACTAGATTGTTTTCATCCAAGCCTTTTTAAAGCTTCCCTCCTGCCTCCATATTTTTAAGGAATAAAAAACTAATATAAGGACATGGAGTGTTATGAAGCATGAAGTTCTATAAATATTTATGCTGAACTATCAAAAAACTTGACAGTTCTTATTTTCTTGACAGATTGGGGTCACTTGTTATTTTTGACCCTGAGAATTGAAGAGCACATGGAGTTAGATCTGTTTGTAATGACTTTTGGATATTGTTGTCTGGTAAAGTTGTAGGAATGTAACAGGATAACAGACTTTTTGCTTGGTGTCTTTGTGACAATGAAACTTAAACCTTGTACCGTGTAACCCACAAATGACCACTCAAGTTACTGTCTCTGTGCAATCTCCAGGGAATTCCTGTACTTTCTTTGACACATAGGGATTTCTAAGTTAGCAGCTTGGTTTGGACAGCTTTCACCTGGGCTGCTCTGCACTTGCAGTACTGTGATCACCTGTACCTCTGGGATTCACAGTGTGTCCCTGAGCCCAGCACAGGATGGGATTAAGGAAGGCTAAAAGTCCAGCAAAAGCCTGTGGTGTCTCCAGAGTTTTGCCACCAGTCCTATGACTGCTTTTAGTAACCCTGGAGCCAATTTAAAAACAAACTCTACTTAAAAGTTGAAGTGCTGATAAACAACATGCATTTTCTAGAGAGGTGGTGGACTTGTAATTCCCACACTTCAGGATCCTCATTCCTCAAAGTTAGGTGCACAAAAGCTTAGCCCCTACCTGAAGCTGAAGTGGCAGGTGAATGTTTTAAAGCCAAGTGTGGCTTTTAAGAAAAGCTGGAGCTTTGCTGCAGCCACATTATTCCATCCAGCTGCAGGGACCTGCCTTGCCTTGAAAACTTATTGTGTGGGAAAGGATCAGTACAATGCTTCACCTTGACTGAAATCCAGTGTGTGTGTTTTAAGGTAAACCTTGAATATGTTGTATGCACATAAAGCTGTCTGGAATGTGTCTTGCTGTCAGTCACTAGAGGGCACAAAGGAACTACCAAGGAAAGATGTTGGTTGTCCTTCAAGCCCTGAATCTTCAGTTTAGATCTGTGAAACTCGGAGGAAAAACTCCTGTGGCTGCCAAAAGACTGAATGGCTTCAAAATTTGGGTTTCGTCAGTGATTTTCCCCACGCAAATCTACTTCTGATTTGAAAGTTAAAAATTTCAAGGGTAGTTCTGTGTTTCTGTTAGTGCAGTTTGTGTTCAGGAAGTACATGGCTCTCAGAGTAAATGCGTAAGCTGCTCATGAACAGCATTTAGTTTAACTTATATAATTGCAAAACTGATTTCCTCATTTGTAAAGTTCCTGCATGAAACAAGTGTTTGCTGTATGTAGAGAAAGGCAGCAAAAGGAGTTGTTCTCTGACCACATGGTTCTTTTGCAGGTTGCATGTCTCATACGGGTTCCATCTGAGGTCGTCAAGCAAAGGGCTCAGGTTTCTCCTTCCTCCAGCACCCTCCAGATCCTCTCCCACACCTTGTACCACGAGGTGAGTTCAGAGCAACCTTTCAAAGTGGTTACTTCATTCTTCCCACTCAGTGCCATGCCACATGCAGAAACATTCCTGCAACTTTATTCCAGTTCTGTGCTCTCCCAGCACTTTCCCATCTATTCTTCTGTTGCTAAAAGTGATTGGCATGTTATGATTCAGGAAACCAAACCCCCACATCCCCCTTGTGCATGCACTTACATGCATTCTCCAAATAGCTCTTTTTTCCTCCTCTTTTTATAAGGGGTACCTACGTTTAAAGAGGAGGAAAAAAGAGGATCTAGCTTCATGTTCCAAAGCTCTGCTGGTATTTATGCAAACAGTCCTTGTCTGGGACAGCAGAACATTGAGTCTCTGTGTGTAGAGTTTGCTGAATGGTTCCTAGTTTTTGAAGCAGGGTGTCCTAAAGGCACCATGTCAGGGAGGAACTCTGGAAATGAGTGCTCATCCAGTATTGGTGACTTCTGAAAAAGTCACCTTTTCAGGGGTTATACTGTTCCCTCCTGTAAAAAAATGTTTCACCTCTGTTTTTGTGGAGTCTCACATGGTGCATTTTCCAAGTTGTATTCC